CTCGTAGATGATGATAAATAACATAGTTATGTATAATATATTACATTTCTGACTGTATATCCCTGTAATTATTACACACTGTAGCTTTAATATGAGTTCTAGTTTCTGGTTGCTGGCTTTCACTTTTTTAGTTGCACCGCATTAAGCCATCAGATGAGAGGTCTGTCCTTATCTGGAATTTTATTTCTAATACTATTATTATTGCTTTTTTAATCTCATCCCTGATATGCAAGTCTTAATACACAAAATAATAAAACTTTAACCAAAAACTTAACTAAAACTAACCTTTTTAGGAAAAAAAATCTAAAATAAACTAGCTACCTAATACTAAACACTAATTAAACCTAAAATAGAAGTTTAAAACTAAATGAGTTTAAAATCCAATGAAAATTTCCAGATGATTTAAACCTTGCTACAGAGTAGATTTCTTCACCTGATGAGCGTAGATTGTGTCATATATCAACGTCCACATCACTCCAGAGAAATACAAGGGAAGGCACACGGACCAATCACAAGAGCCCTGCACGGCAGCCCAGCCGAGGAGAGCGCCCCAGTTAAAGGTAAGGCCTGCAGAGAGGTGACAGGAACAGGACTTTAGCTTTAAGATGGAGAGCCTGAAAACCTGACTTCCTGAAACACCTACCCAGCATCAGCTGTGGCCAATAAGTGATCCTCTTCATTAGTGGGTAGGTGATGACAAGAGATAATGAAGAGGCCCCCAAAGCTATGCTGTCAGGATAGGGTGAACACATAGAAACATTTAAAAACAAATACCTGCCTAGTGACAGGAAACTTTGCTCATAAATTAAAGAAAACTCCTTTGATACAGAAAACACATTTCTATGTTGGTAGATTCACCATAAGTGAACCCTTAAGCATCTTTAAGAGAGGGAAAAGGTCTGTTTCTACACCTTATTTAATTTGGTTTCAATTTGAATCCTGATCGTCTTGACTACACTTTCAGGTGTCAGCAGACAGCAAGGCAGAAAAATTCTGTTCTATTCTATCGTATTCTTACTGGACACCACAGAAAGATGGAAGTAAATGATGTTTGGCATAACTCTACCGTTAGGAAGGTTTTTTTTCTCATGCTCGTAAAGTTTGAAAATAAATCTTGGTACCTGTAATAGTTAAGACACAGAAGGACTCCAAGTGCGAGGGAGAGCTGCCCTCCAAGGAACACAAGTGCCTGCATTCTGGAAATTTCCCCTGATGCGATGGGTCGTGATGCTGTCCTGGCTACCTTTACAGAAACAGAAATATTTCTCTTTAACCTGTTTTGAAAATATAACTTTGCTATTCTTGGGCTGCATAAAATTCCAAAGAGTTTTAATGAATTGTTAATTCAGCATATGGCACACTTTCTTTCCCCTAGGGCGGACTGAATATGTTATATAAATGGTTAGAATTACTTGTTTGTCAAAGTCTTTATCCCACATATCGTTGATGGTGCAACCTGCACCCCTCATCAGCAGGGCGCCAGTACCAAACAGGGCGAGCATCCCAAAATCTGGGAGACTTCCCGGCTCTGCTGCTAAGGCGATGCTCCATGTACAAGGAAGGTAGAGCAGCCATGTTCCTGAATAGCAAACACAAAAGCATCGAATGGAAGATTATTTACAAAACTTTTGGTTGAGGTTTAATTAAAGTCTTTTCTTGATCTAAAGAATTCAAGGGCTCCAATCTTTCGAATCAAATTGCTAAAACTTGTAGTATTCCCAAAGGTCCATAGCTTTTTTATTTATTATTTTTTTTGTTTTAGTTTCCTCAGCAGATAGAATTTGGTTTTAATGTACATCTCTCACTGATTTCATGCCAACAATTCATTATCCAATTCTTCTTAACCAAACTAGATTGATCAGTTGTAGACCTTGATTGACTGCCTAAATCATTTCATACTGTCAATTCAAATGAGTAAAAAAAAAAAGAAAAGGAAGAATCACATTATTTATTAAGGTTAAATATTGTAAAGATTATTTCAAATGTAATCATTCCAATTATTTTCAAATCTCTCTTGTTCCAACATTAAAATGCCTCCAACAGACGGTCAAGTAAGTAACTAAGATTTAATCAAATTAATAACTGTCTATCAATATTGCCAAATATATTAGCAGAGTTTGAGTCAATCGTGTTTGAAGGATTATAACCTAAAAAATATTGCAAACAAACTAATAATGTTTGAAATATGATGAGCTTATAATAATAGGAAGGTGCCTCAAACTCTGTCAGTAGTGGCCATTCTGGAGGGGAATGTCATTGAGGTGGTACATGAATATAAATACATTTGAATTTTAATTGATGACTCCCTCACCTTCAAACCTTTTATTGATAAACTTGTTAAGAAATTAAAAGTTAAAATGGGCTTCTTTCATAATAAGACATGTTTTTCTTTTGGAGTAAAAAAAAAGCTCCTTGTCTCTGCCACGTTTTTATTGGTCTTAGATTATGGTGACCTATTTAATAAGAATGCTACTTCTTCATGTCTTCAAATGTTGGACAGTTTATCATGCTTCATCAAGGTTCTTCACAAACTGTAGAGCCATGAAACATCACTGTGACCTGTACTCTCAGGTGGGATGGCCTTCCCTCTCTGTGAAGGCAGCGTCATTGGTACACTTTTATTTACAAGGCTCTTCTTGGATTACTGCCGTCCTACATTTGTACCTTATTTACACAGAAAAGCATGGCTTCTTCTGCCCTGAGATCCAACATTCAGCTGTTGCTCACTGTTCCTTTTGCCCGCACACAACTGGGGAAGAAAGCCTTTAGCTTCTTGTGCATGGGATTTTTTACAAAGAAACTGGAAGTTGACTGAGTTTTTATCTTAAATGCTTTTAAGTTGAAAGTGAAATAATTTGAAGCAGCTTCAATGATCTGTAGTTGTTTTACTTGATATGGTTTTTTAATGTACCTGTCATTTATTTTAATGTACCTATTAGGGGTGTGGGAAATAATCGTTTTGGCGATATATCGTGATATTTGGCTGCCCAATATTATATCGATTTTCAAAAAAAAAAAAATGGTTACATAAAACATTGATGGGAAAATGGGCTACCTCTGCACCGCCACTCTGGCAGAAAGTGCTGTGGAGCCCTTTAATTGTGCGTGCAGCACCAAATCTGTATTTGAGGTAGTCACAGTGGAAGAAAACCCCACACAACATGGATAATAATACCTAATCAATATTTTCTGATGAAAATATGCAGCACTTTCTGTTTTGTCTCATCATTTGATTTTGATAGCTGGGGAAAATATGGCAATATAAAGTGATACTGCAATATCGTGATAATATCGTATCGTGACCCAAGTATCGCGACATGTATCGAATCGCAACACTCGTGCCAATACTCACCTCTAGTATGTAACTTTGCTGCCTCTTGGCCAGGACTCCCTTGAAAAAGAGGTTTTTAATCTCAATGGGATTTTTTTTTCTTGGTTAAATAAAGGTAAAATAATATATATATATATATATATATATATATATTTTTTTTTTTTTTTTTCTTTTTTTTTACATTTTAGATAAACCTGGATGGGTAATTTGTGCACATTTGCAGACATATTTAATAAATTCACACACATTCGACTAAGGGTTCTTTGTCAGATTAAAACTACTTTTAAAAACAACTTTTAAGCAGGTAATAAACAAAAAAAATCATAAATATCTATATAAAAGTATGCCTTTACATTTTTTTTTCTTTAATTTTAGATGTCTTTGTTAGATGGAAGTGGAAATCAAATGACTGCAAACAAAGTGAAACCATCTTTTTGTAATAAATAAGCAAGGCTAAAACCAAACTACTCTGTAATGTAAGGAATTTAATTACCGATTGGTTTGTCCAGCCTCATCAGTCTGAGGTAAGGCTGAACGTGAGCAGGTGCTGAGTTCACCACGGAAGCAGCAGACAGGCTGAACGACCTACTGCCACCCTGGCCTGTTTCCCTTTGCCTAGAATTAAACCGACCCTGGAGGCACAAAGCTCGTCTCAACACCGTGGACTCTGAATGGACACCTTCGTTTCTCCTTAGTGCTTGGTTCTGGATTGGGCAGTTGGACAAAGTGGACAGACATGGTAGGTGACAGGTCCCCCCTCCTGTTGTCCACCTAAGTGCAGCGAGAGTTAACCGGCTGCTCAGCCTGGCGCGGAACATGGTGGTTTCCTTTGGTCAGTCGCACATTAACGTCCTTTTATTCCACTTTAAAAAATACCAGAGGGATAAAGTAAAATAAATAAATATAAAAGAGCTACACTTAAACAACCCTAGGCAACAGGGTTCATTTTCCTGTTGCGGTGCGTTCAATATTATTATCCGGAGGAAACAACAACTTAAAGCGGAACACAAACCACAACACAAATAATGCATTAAATAAAGAAATAAACGTAAATGAATTAATGAAAAATTTTTTTCTTATTTAGCATACCAAAACCTTATTTTATTCCGGATGTGGTAATGCATTAAATTGATTTCTCCCAACCTGTATTACACAAGAGGGGGCTCAAACGGCGTAAAATCGTGAAAGACCTAGAAGCTGCGGGGAAATAAATTAGTTCCATTGTCTAATTACAATTGGATTAAATAGATTAATCTGTTATTTTAACGTACTTAAATATAAAAACCAAAACATTTTGGAATTGCTTCAAAACATGGATCAAATCAAAAATTGCACTTCCTGAATCTATTTCTAGAGATATGGTAACTTTTGGAATATTATTGAAAAACAAAACAGTAGAACTCTGTTGTAACTTAATTTTGTGTTTTGCAAAATTCTTTATTCATAAACAAAGAGTGTTGAGATCATCCCCAACCTTTAAAGTTTTTTTAATCTGAATTCAAGTTTTATTTAAAATCTCTTAAATGTATCGAATCATACGAATATCTGACTGAAATACTGATGGGTTTGCCCACCAATGTTCATCAATCCTAATATGAATCCCCTTGTTGCCATGTTAATAATAATTTCATTATCTGCCATTCCTTTTATTTATTTATGTATTTATTTTTGATCCTTATCAATAATGCCTTGTACTTCCATTTTTGAAATCTGCCTCTACTATGCATTCCACAGATTTGTACTGTTGCTATTGCCTTACTTGTTTGTCCTTACTCTGTTTAAATAAAAAACAAAAAAAAAACTTTTCCTTACATTTTCTAAAATGTAGCGGGAAGGTAGCTGTTAGTAATAAAGAAAAAGCAGCTCTATTGGCAGAAATGTTAAATAAAGTACATAGTTCCAAGAATTTATCTGAACAAATAAAGAGTTATAAAGAGAAGATTTTAGCAGAAAATCCAGGAGTCACTTACAAGAAAATAACTTCAAATCAAGATCTAGATATCCCTTTTACTTTTTTTGAGCTAAAAAAGCAATATTTAATGTTAAACAGTCAAACACAGGGAAGAGGGAGTTTGTTATGTAACGCTGAAACATGTAAATTATATATCCGTTACTGTTCTTAAATTTTTCAATATGATTTGGGAGACAGGGATTATTCCTAGAGCATGGAAACAGTCCATTCAAATTCCTGTGTTGAAGCCAGGTAAAAATGAAACAGACCCTTCAAACTATAGGCCTATAGCTCTTTCATCTCAATTAGGGAAAGTAATGGAGGGAATTGCAACAGATAGTCTATCATATTTTCTTGAAAGTAAACATGTATTTTCTTTTTTTTCAAATTGGTTTTCATAAATGGAGAAATACGATGGATGCGGTACTGTGCCTGCAGTCAGAAATAAGGAAAGCTTAAACAATTAAAGAAATAGTGATAGCTGTATTCTTTGACATAGAGAAGGTGTATGATATGTTATGGAAAGGGATTATTGGTTAAATTAGAAAAAACATTTCTGGCATAAGTGGTAAGATTTATAACTGGGTTTTAGATTTTCTGTTTGGGAGAGAAATAGAAGTTAGAGTTGGAACTGCTTTCTCTAATAGATATATAGTTGGGAATGGTACCCAGCAAGGTAGTGTGTTTAGCCCAATTCTTTTTAATATTATGATAAATGACATTTTTGATAAGATAGATGGTAGTATAAGGAAATCTTTTTTTGCAGATTATGGGGCTCTGTGGGTGTGGCCACAAGATCCTCTGTATTTGCAGAAAAAGAAGTAGCATGCATTAAAATGTAAGTTGCAAAGTCCCAAGTTATTTGTTTTTATAGAAGGCATTAGGAAGTTAATTAAAATCTTTATAAACAAGTAAATAAAGTGAGGTTTTTAGGTGTCATCTTTGATGAGAAATTAACTTGGAAACAGAAACTAGAATTAGTTCAAAATAAATGAAAAAAGTGAATAATTAGTTGAGATGTCTTTCTGGACAGGAATGGGGAGCTTCAACAAGTGCGCTGTTTGGAGTTAATCGGGCTCTCATGAGCCATATATGGCAGCTGCTAACAGTCATTTGAAAAAAACTTGATAGTGAACAGAACAAACACAAGTATTATGAATATGTTGTGGAGCTTTCAGATCATCTCCTTTCGCTGCTTTACGAGTTAAAACTGGTGAGCTTCCTTTACCATTAAGAAGATTTAAAATAATGTATATGTATTGGGTAAATCTACAGGGCCATAATTATGATCATCAACTAAGACTGCGCTGCAGGACTGTTGGGAACATCATAAATCTGATTGTAATAGCTTTGGATGGATTGGGGACATAAAAGCTCAAAAATTCGGTTTGACTCAGTTTCGGTTAACTTTACGGTTCCACAGTCATCAATTCCACCATGGTCATTTATCACACCAGAAGTTGATCTGCAATGGGGGGATTTATTAAAAAGGGAAAGACTCCAGAATGTGTTATAGTTAATAATTATTTTTGGAAGATTTAAAGATAGTGTAATTATATATACATATGGATCTAAAGATCCAAATGGTGGCAGAACAGGAGCAGCTGTGAATATCCCACACCATAAAAATCATGATTAAAAGGAGAACGAAAGATCATCTAGCAGTTTTTACAGTTGAATGAATTGTCATTATGTTGGCTTTAGAATGGTTGCTTGATGAAATTTTGTAAGGGAAGGAAATAGTTATAAAATTGCATCATGTAGTCAAGCTGCATTATTAAGTATCAAATCTTGCAAGTCTTGTAGATTAGATTTATTATTAGATATATATCACTTATTAGTTCAGCTTAATAATAAGAAATGTTTTGCTTGATTTTTCTGGAATCCTGCTCATGCAGGCATAGAAGTAAATGAAGAAGTAGACATATTAGCTAAACAGGCCTTAAAATCAGGTATTATTAGCTTAAGTACTCCTTTAAATAAAAGTGAGGGAAAATCTATAAATCAGAATAAATCTGTAAGGTTTAGCAAGAACAATTGGATAATCATGACACCTGTAGAGATCTATATGAAATTCAAAAGACTGTGGGGTGGGCAATAGTTGTATAAATGGAGGGTGGAAATAAGAGGTCTTCATATCATGACTTAGAATTGGTCATACTGGACTTTCAGAATAGGGAAACATTAAACAGGGACTTGTAATCACTGTAATCAGATAGAAACAGTGGAACATGTATTATTAGAATGTAATAAGTATTCACACGAACGTCAGCACTTAAAGTCAATACTAAATAGAGAAAACATATGATTTTATATGATAAATCTTTTAGGAAGTAAATCAAATTCAGTTAGAAA